TGGCGGCTGCACCTCCTGGCCCATTCGGGTTGAGGATAGGCGTGGCGGCGGCACCTTCTGACCCCGACTCAGGTCGAGGATATGCGTGGCGGCCGTACCTCCGGATCTCCTTTCAGGTTAAGGGTAAGCGTGGCGGCTGCACCTCCCGACCCCTCTTAAGATGGAGGACAAGCGTGGCGGTGGCGGCGGGACTTCTTGGCTTCGTTGGAAGCTTCGAGTCTTTTGTCGTCGCGATGATGTCGACGAGGTCGGTATCTGACCTGTACAATGTTTGGCGGCCAGGAGCTTCGCAGCTGAACACGCAAGAGCCTCCGGCTTCTCTGGCTGGCCGAGGAGCTAAGAAACAAGCCCGCTAGCACGTGGGTGCTCGAATATGCAACACGCCTCGCAAGCCTTTGTACACAAAAAACACCACTGCACTTGCCATCAGACTCTTGATACGGGATTCGGGCATCATGGGAGCGAACCCGGTCCTGTAGAAGAACTCGGCATGTGCTTCGGTCAAGAAATCGCTGAGGGCGGCTCCCACATCCCTGGTGGTCTTGGGCCAGGCATTCATGACGAGCACCGCTTCACTGGGTGTGTAGCCTCCTAAGCCGAAGTCCTCCATCCAATGCAGCAGGTGTTCGACCGTTCCCAGGGTCTGCAGTGGGTCGTCAGAACTTTGTGGAGTCCAGGCTTTGCCGAATTCGACAGTTACCGGACAGCAGAAGCCGGGAAAGCGCAGTTGAGTGCTCTGCAGGGAAGCCATGATTGTCCGCAAGGCAGCCACGTCCGCTTGGAGCCGGAGTGCCCAGTCAAGGTTCCTCATGGGCAGGGATCTTTTTAGCTGTAGCAGCACCAGGAGCTCCTCTGCTGTCAGCATCTGTCGCATCGAGGCGCCCCAGTCTCCTTCTAGACAGTGTACGAGCGTAATCCTGGTCATCACAAAGACGGCCTGTATGCCTGTTCAGCACTACGGCTTTCACTGAGCACACTCGGCGGGACACGGCGAAATTCCAAGACTGAAGTTTGGATGACTCGGCATACTTTGCCTGCAAGGGTACATGCACAAGCTGCACCGTTTCTCTGCTGCAACAGACGTTTCTTCATGACAGGGTGAGACTCGCCGAGGGTTTGCGCTTGCGCTTGCTCGGCCATTTCCGCATCTCTTCAGGCATGCGAGCCATGCGCAGGCAGTGCTCACGTCGTAGCCAGACCACAGCACCTCTCGCTGCCCACGACGGCACCTGCTCGCATGTAGGTGCCGTGTGCTGGTATGCGGTAAGACAGGCCTGAAACGGGTTTCGATGCTGCTGGACGTCCTGCAGGGTCCACGCATAGGTTTTGTCAGCGTCGTAGTTGAGCGCCTGCACGCACGGGCTTCAGGTTTTGCTCGTGCGATGCAAGGCTGTGTGCCTGCAGGTCATCCGCAAAAAATACTTTCTCCCGGACCGTGAGTTGGTGCGATTCCTTGACGACGGCCGTGCCGCGAATAAGCCTACTCCCTGTCTCCATCAGGCTGATGGCGTGTGTCTCTAGGTAGGTTGGGCATGGCTTCTTTCGGAGCTCGACCGTTTTCGTTCCTGCAGCGGGTCTTGTAGTCCTAGCTTGCGCTGCTGCACTGCGTGTGTCGTGTTCAAGACTCCGGGCCTGCGAGTATCTGCTGCAGCCATGCCGGGCGAATCTTCAGCGCATATGTAGTCTTCCCGAAGGCCAGGTCAATTAGCTTCTCGCCGTCCGGGGTACCTGACACGCATTCCACTCTGTCACTTCGCGGTCGTGTATGGTCCACGTACATGTGCAGGCCGAGCCTGGCTGGCTCCCTGTCGAAATTCCTGTACTGCTGGGTCTGTGATCGTCCGGCATGCCGTGCGCCTGCGTGGTAACCGGTGCCGATACTTTGGATCTTGATGGTTCCGTGGCTGCGGTCAATGGCATGGAGTGCCACTGCTCTAGAGACGGAATGCAGCGTCCGGGTGTTGTAGGCGACAACGTGCAACTCTTTTACTCGCTGTTTCCGGTCTTCACGGCTTCAAGAAAGGTATTGTGCAGAGACGGAGCGACGCACATCCGTCGTAGCTGTCCAGGTCATGTCCCGTTCCATTGCAAAGGCTTTGCCGTCAGCGTGGAACTCTCGTGTGGGCTGCGTCACGTAGTGAGGTGCAGGCCCGCCTCGTTCAAAGGCCACCGTGCCGTTGTCCTTGGCTCGAACCGACACCGAATAAGGAGTCTTGCCGGACCCTCGGCATGCGTGGATGGTCCAGTCCCCTGCAGAAGCCCGGGTACACCCGGCATGCTGCGATGCTCTTGCGTTTGTTCAGTGCAACACTCATAGTTCCACGCAGATCTGGGGTGTAGGCCATAGCGCGTGCCTTACCGACGCAGCAGACGCAGAATCGCCACCAAACCTCCAGGAGAGCGAGCAGGATGTGTTCGTAGNNTACCTCCTCTCATGGATGTCGTGCGGTGTGCTGCGAGGCTTCTGTGGCTGGGCAGCGGCGCCTATACGGCAGCAGAACCTCTTTACACTACACCCATGCTGTCGCTGGAATGGTCTGTCTTGGCGTGAAACACTTCGTCCGTGGCCGTTTTACTCGGCGGCAGGCTGGTCAATGCGACAGCCCGGGTACTTCCAGTGGGCCGGCACCGGTATGTATCGGCCATTGACTGGCTTTTGCCAGCGCCTCCACTGAGCAGGTACCGGCAGGTATCGGCCGTGCATTGGTTTCTGCCACACTCTCACTGTTGCCGGCGCCTGCAAGCCAAATCAATACGCACGAGAAGATGTGGATACGCGCCGCTTACGCCCTGCCTCGGCTGTGTCTGCGTCCGTGATCAACGTGCATGTGTGTCGTGCCTCGGTGAATGAAACATGCATGGTCGAAACCCGCCGGAGCAGAAGAATAACTGGGGCAGCGCACCTTCTGTGTTGGCCGAGGTCTAGATTTGGCTTTGGCCGCTCTGAGGGCGCATAGTGCGAAAACCTGGCAGCAGGCAGGCTTGCGTAATCCTGCACATGTACGCTAAGCTGGATACAACAAACACATGCTTGCCTTCGGTGACATGGTCGGCTTTGGCACGGAAGCCTTTGACGTTCTCCATGTCATGTTACCGCGCTATCCTTCTATGCAGGCTAGCCTTGTCCAGGTGAGCGGAGTCGGTGTTGCCCTTGCATCCCACTTCTCCTGGCGGGATATCCATCCGACCGACTGTCTCTCGCTTGTTTTCCTATGCATCTCTCCCTTGTGGCAGCGATTCCGCTGGCCTGCTACCGAACGGATAGTAGCCCGAGCCGGCGGGACCATGTCCTTGGAGCGCTTGCCATGAAGTGTCCTAGTGCTCATGGTTCTGGGGCTGAGCTTGGGGC